ATGCCACATCATTCCTGAAAACCTACTTATAAAAGCAACAGCCATATGCTTATAAATGTCTTTTTTGATCAAAGTTAAGATAACTGGTTCCTAAACCTACAGGCAGATTTTCTGGAGTGCTATGTTGTCTGTTGTACTCAGATTATGTTTCCCGTCCCATTCCTACACCTATCATAACCTGGTAACCAATTTCTTTCCAGTCTTGAGTGGAAAGATTATTTAACTTGTCAGTTATCTATTGGGTAACAGTATTATGTTTGCTGTCAAATAATGTACACCAGAAAATTATGTTCCCATAAAAAGCCCCATAATTTAAAAATGTTCACCAGTACAAGATCCAAAGAAGATTGTGTTGAGAGTACTGCTTAATATCATTCCTCTTTCATCTCTTAAAGAAGCACACAAGCTGGGACGCCTGGGTGGCTCAGCTGGTGAAGCATCTGACTCTTGATTTCGGCTCAGGTCATGATCTCACAGTTTGTGGGACTGAACCCTGTGTCAAGATCTGTGCTGACAGTATGGAGCCTGCTCGGATTCTCTCTCTCTCTCTCTCTGCCCCTCCCTCCCTCACTCTCTCTTTCAGAATAAACTTAAACAAACAAAAAAAAGCAGCGCACAAGCTAAAAGGCAGATGAAAATCAGAGAAAAAAGTGGATATTGTTTTAGGAATGGGACCAAGGTGGGGGGTGAGGAAAGGATAGCATTGGTGAGGATACCAAGATTTTAAGTCTTCCCACTGAACATTAACAGAAAAAGAATCATTCAGATATTTTTCAATCTACCCGCCAAACTCATTTAGTCCACAGAGTTATACAAAGACACATGTTCCCTTCTTAGGAGTGAAAGGAACTAATTGTGGTGAGGTAGATTGTTCATTAATATCTAATTTTCTTTGAACTGCACAATTAAAACCTTTACAATTAGCTAGTCTATTAACAAAAACTGAAAAAACACATTTACAAGAATTTTGATATGCATTGTAATGTTCAAGATCTACGTACGCACAGCTAATTTGGCTAATTTGCTGAAAAGAATCAGAGGTTAAACAGGTGTTTTTAAACTGTGCTGTAAGTGTCCATATTTTATTTCCAAGTGTTTTCCCAGTTAGTGAGGGGCTTTTCATAAAGTAAAGGGGAAAAAAGTCTGAAGGCAAAGAAGACAAAAATGTTTTATAATACTGAAGACAGTGAAATATCTCACAATCAAGCTATGACCTGCGCAATTGAAGGCTTGTTAGTAGTAAGTGTAAATCCTTGAGAGCAAGAGACCTTTCTCCTCTGTAACTTGCCAGGATATATTTTATGGAGACAGCTGTATCCATTAAGAGCTCATTAAGAATGATTTGACTATTAGGACAGTGGTCCTGGGTCTTAAAAGATTCTTACATCGTACTAGATACAGGGCACTGTTCTGGGAACAAAGGAAAACAAAACAAAACAAAACAGTCCACTTGTTAAGGAACACACAGTTGGGAAAAGGGAGAGATGGTGGGAGAAGCGAAGCTGGCTACGCAGACCACTGTGGCAGTCCTGTATCACTGAGCCCTAAAGTGCCGTTTTTTATTAAAAAAAAAAAAAATGCCTTTTTTATCTCTAAATTTTGAATGGTTCTGGTATTTCTGCTTAGTCAGAAAAAGAAACCCACTATTACACACTCCTCTTCTGAAAACTCACTTTAATTTTCAGATTTAGCAAAAAATTTCTATCTCCATTTTTAAAGTGGTATTACTTTTACCATTCTCTCAACAGTATGCCTGCTATGCACTACCCACTGCTGCTGCACAAAGCACTGGTGATCCGACTGAACAAAACCAGAATTCATGCCTTCATGGAAATACATTCTGGATGGAGATATCTTCCTCAAATAAACAACATTTTGTATTATGCTCAGCACCATGAAAGAACTGCATATTGCAACAGAAAAGAATGGGGAGAGACGGAAGTGCAAAGCTACCTTAGTAAAGGACAGGGAAGGCCTTGCTGAGGAAGTGACGTTTTTAAGTAGGGACATGAAAGACAAAGTGGCAATCAAGAGGAAAAGTGTTCAGGTACAAGGAGCAGTAAGGGAAAAGGCCCAGTGGTGGAAAAAGTTTCATGTCTTTGAGGATTTGAGAGAAGGTCCCTGACTATGGAGAAGTATGAAGGAGCACGGCAGAAGTTTCTTTCCTGAGTGCTTAATATATGCTAGACATCACGCTAAGTACTTTAATGCACGCCCTTACATGATCACTACCAAACCTATGAAGTTAGGGTCCCCTCCCCCTTTTCAAAATGAAATAAACAAGCATAGGAGATATTAAGAAACTTGTTCAAAATCACACAGCAAGTGGTAGAGGGTGGATTCGATTCAATGCAGCATGCATCCAAAGCCCACACTTTAACTCAAACTTACAGCCAAAGTTAGAAGATAAACAGTAGACAAATCAAGTGGAGCTTCAAATGCCACATTAAGGAGCTGAAATTTTATCTTAAATGCAGTGGAAAGCCACTGAGAAGTTTAAACAAAACTGTGACATTATCTGATTTACATTTCTACTGTGGCTGCTGTGTGGAGGAGTTGTATGTGTAAACAAAAGGAAATCAATAAGCAGTTGGGAGAGAAATGGTGGCTGTCTGGACTAGAAGTAAACCAATTCAGGATCTATCTTGGAGCAGATAAAATTAGCCTTGCCAATGATTTGGATACATGGAATAAGAAAAAAGGGAAAGTCTCAACTCCTAAGCTTCTGGATTTAGTAACAAATGGATCATGATGGATAATCATGAAATGGTTTAGGATCAGACTAAGTTTAGGAAAAAGGGATAGTCATTCAATCATTCGACAAATCTTTATTAAGCTTCTATTATGTGAAGCAGACTACAAAACTGGTAAAGTTTCATCTTCACAGAGCTTCCATCACTGGGGTGGGGGTGGGGGGAAGGCAGACAAATTAATATATAAACCATAAGATAGTGTTAAGTGCTAAAGAAAACAACAAAGCGGGTTAAGTGGAAAAAGAGGTTACTATTTTAATTAAATGGTTAGAGTTTCTCCAATGTATGAGCAGAGCCCTAAAGGAAACAAAGGAAGCAGGCTGAAGACTTCTTGGAGAAAAGAGTTCCTGACAGTTTGAGTAAGACTGCAATAGCTCCGAGACAGGAGTGTTCTTGGTATGTTTGAGGACTGGCAACGTCAGGGTGGTATAGCAGATGAGGTAAGTCAAAAATAGGAGATCAGAGAAGAAGAGACAGCATGGAACTTTTGTTAAGGACTTTGCCTTTTTTTTTTGTTTTTTTTAATACTTTGGGTAAAACAGGAAACCCTTCCAAGATTGAAGATTTGAAGAATGGAAGAGAAATGTTACTCCAGCCGCAATACGTACGAAATTACACTATGAGGGAGCAAGGGTGGAAGCAGAAACTCAAGAGTCAATAATCCTCTGGCAGATCAGACCAGGAGCTAGTGAAAGGGTCAGTTTTAGACAGGTTTTTAAGAACAAATAGGATTTGTTGATGGGATTAGATATGGTGGCTTTGAGAGAAGTCAAGAAAGGCTGGCAGGGTTTTTTGACCTGTATCAAAAAAGAATGAGATGACCATTTACTGGGTTGGGATGAGCATGGGAGGAAGAACAGATTTATCATGGAAAACCATGAGTTCAGTCTGCCATATTAAGATGGAGATACTTATTACAAATTTAGAGACAGATGTTGAGTAGGCAGCTGTTTACTGGATTTCAGAGAGGTCTGGATTAGAGACACAAGTCTGGCAGTCTTTAGCATTCATGAGAATGTATCTGGGAAAAAGTATAGACAGAGAAGAGAGTCCAGAACTGAAGCCTTGATAAACTCCATCAGTTAGACATTTCCGTTGCATGCCTAGTAGTCTTATAAGAAAGCTACTGATTTCATTTTTAAAGCTATCACTTATTACACCAGCAGTTTCTAAAGTCATCAAGTGCATCAATGAGACACAGCAATGAACTAAAAAGATACACAAATCTCAAAAGAGAAACTCCATTTATGATCAGAGAAATACTAGGAACTCAAAATATTTCCAAATATAGAGGTGGTACAATCCAGTGGTTAGGTGCACAATATATGGGTTCATGCTGCCTGGATTTTAATTCTGATTCTTATGCTCATTATCTGTGTGACCAAGACAAGGCACTTACTGTGCAGCTTCCTCAAGAGTAAGTTGGAGGTAATAACATATTGGGCTGTTGCAAATGAATTAATACCCGAACTTTCACGCTCAAAAAGCTCTTACTATCAATGACACTAAATCACTGAAACAAACGTTGAGACCCTGCAGTTAATCAGACTAATTTTTCAATTATCTTAACCAGGGACTTGTAGCTCTGTGTTTAGATTTCAAAACAAGGCCAGAACATGTTTCTAAATTCAATTCTCTTAACTAAGGGCTTGTGGCTCCCAGTCTGGATTTTTACAGAAGCCAAAACACATTGCCAAAAGCCTTAGCATCCTTGGAGGCATAGGGGGAAAGGGAGCAACTAGCTAGTCCTAATCATACATCAGAGTAAGCGTGTCTCATAACAAGGTCCAGCTGTGACACAGGGTATCACGGCCCCGAATCCTTCTTAACCAGTTATCTGATTCTCTTCTGGTGTCTCCTCTAGAGAATGGATGTGCTTTAGAACACAAAGGTTAAACCAAGCTTTTGAATGGAAGTGCAGCAAAGTGCCGAGAATGCAACTCTATGGGAGCAATAGGGGAAGACTTATCCAGAGTCACCATCTATTCCTTTATCTTTAGTACCCAGGAGCACCGTGGGGTCTCTTCTCCCGCGGGTTACGGGGAAACCGCGACCTTCCTCATCTGGTCCCCACCCCCCGACCCTGACCCCTGGGAGCAAAGCGCCGGCGCAAAGCAGCTACCCACCCTCCCCATTCCCCTCCTCTCTCCGGGCCCCAGACGCGGGCCCCAGGCTGAAACCTCACTATTCGCCGAGCGGGAGGAGACACTCGGGAAAGAAACAATAGAGCCGGAGCGGCTGCCGTACCTCTCCCGGTCGCGGCCGTCGAAGTAGACGAAATCGCCGTTCTGGACGCACTTGGCGCAGGTCAGCCGCCGGCGGGTGGTGTTGCACAGCGGACAACGCTCGACCGCCACGTACAGCCCCTCCGCGTCGTCCACGGAGTCCACCAGGTCCCGGGCGAGCGGCCGGGGCCCGCAGCCAGGAGCCTCCAGCGACCGGGCTCCCTTCCCACTGGGAGACGCCATGATGGCCTGAGAGCAGAGCCAGTCACGTGGGATTTTGTTTTCAACCAGGTGCATCCTGGGCGAGGAGGAGGGGCCTGGGGTGGTGCCGAGAGGGCGGGCGGGATCCCCGCGAGCCCCTCGCCCAGCCTCTCAGAGCTGTCTGCCAGGCCCGCTGGCGGGAGGCGCTGTTACTTTTCCTTACGGCTTGAGGGGCAGCGCGCCCCCAGCGGGGAGAATTGTGTTAGAGGGCCGGGTCAGCCAAACAAAATGTCATCATCCGCTTGATCGTGCCAGGGCTACAAGTTAACGCCACAAACTTGTGCAAGAAATAGTAACACAATGCCCTAGGGATTTGGGGAAAACGGGCTGGGAACAAAATCAGAGAATTTCTTTAATTCGCTATGGATGCTTTTAAATTTGGTTAAAACTACAGCAAACAAAGTTGGGCGAGGAGTCTGGGTTTTGGAAAGAGGTTGTATTTCGGCTCACTCACCTCCTCTATAGCTTTGTGATTTGGTCTGTACTCGTGTTATCTGTTAAATGGAGATAGTTAACAGTACCTACCAAACGTTGGGAGGATTAAAAATACGTTTAACAGTAATCTGTTAGCAATCTGACAGTACTTTACTGATAATAGCGAACCAGTGGAATCAATCCAAAGAAATCAAAGTTATCTTTCTGAAAACTGAATTTTAAATTAATGTCCAACATTCTTCTACTCTGGGCCATGCTCTGAAAATTGGAACTAGGTAGAATTTAACCTAATTCGATTACTCCAGACTATTTTCTGTGTAGATAAATAGGGTGGCTCGGAGGATGAAGTCAGAATAATTAGTGTTTGAAAATGCCTCCAAACTACAAAAGGAAAAAAAAAGGAAAGTGTGTTTATAGGTCAATTTACCTAGACAAGTGGTTCTCCAGGATTATTTTGGTAGGCTGTCAACTGATGACTCCCTTGAATTCTCTAGCTGGGACTTCTCTCTCAAGCTCCACACCTAAAGATTCACAACTCCCTAGGAGGCATAAAGTGATGTACAGTGGCCACCACAAACTCAGTATGTCAGGAACTGAATGCTTCCTCCTCACAAATCTGTTTACTCATCTTGGTGAAAGACACAATCCCTGAGCACTTGGGAACAAGAGTCTTGAGTCATGTTAGCCCCATCCCCCACTGATAACCTGCACATCTCCATCAAATTCTGAGGATTCCACAATCTCTTTAGGTCTTGAATCTGAACCCTTTGCTCCATTCTTTTAGTTTTATCTGGTCTATTGTAATACAAGGACACAGAATGATAAACACATACGAAAAAGAAGTCCCTAAACTGTTTTCAAAATAGAGCTTACACTAAACCTGAATGGTTCCTGAAAGTTTATTTTTAAACAAGAGGAATAATTTCCTCTATCATTTCAAGCAAAAAGATATTTTAAAAGGAAAAAAAAAATAGACACATTAGTTTCTATCCTGCTATGTATTGTTGCAGTTATGATCTAGTCTATGCAGTTATCTGAAATTTCTATGTATCGCTATATATTTGCGGGGAACATGTTAATATACTACATCTCCAGCAGAACATTACATTTTGATGATTAAACATGATTATCATTCTAGCAAGGCCATAAATCTCTCAAATTCTGAAAAGTTTACTTGTTCAATTTTCAAAGTAATATGGGTGTCATTTTGAAAAAAGTTTCTTCAGTTTTTAGGCATGAATACTCATATAGAATCATTCTTTAACAAATAGAGTCAAAATGTGCGTGTTTGTGTGCTGGGCTTATGCACATTCTCAAACCAATATATTATGAGATGCTGAATGGTTGAATGACGTACTCAGGCTTTTTTAAAACCCTTTAGAATAGGATAGATGTTTTCAAATGCTTCATAGATCTCAGAACGTTCTTTGGCACCTACAAAGAAATCCAAGTTTATATAATATTTAATATAAAAATACCAAAATTATTTTAAGAATAAAATTTCATCTGTCACCTCCAATTACCTTTAATATGAAGATATCTCTTTAGGTTTACCTGAGAAGTGACATTTTGGTAAATACAAAAGAATTTGGTGAGGACAGCCACATTCCCATGAACACATACCCTAGAGCAGAGCTTTCTAGTACTTTGCTGTGTGGGTGTATCAGTTCATCTTTAGTCTCACAGAGTATGAAATATGGAATGTTATCTCTCAGCATGCCATGAACATGACCAGAGAACATGACTTTTGTCAGCACCTGTGGGCACTCAGCTGCCAGCACAAGGGACTTCCTTGGATCCCCTCATGTCTAGTTGACACCTTGATTCCCTAATATTGCCTAACAGAGTGAGACAAACTGCAGCAAAAATTTTACATTTCATTGTATAAGGAGAGATTATTAGAGGAGGAAAACTGTGCCACTGTCACTCCTTAGAGTCTGAAGTTTCAAGGATCTTTCATTGTAACTGTCCTAGGGATTAAAATGGATAAAAACATGAATTAGACAAGGTCCCTACCCTTGAGAGACAGCAGTCAGGCCCTGCTCATCTATCTCTCACCACCACTCACTGCCACCAACTGCTTCCACCTTCAAAGCTATGCAGGCACATTGTATTAAGGGTTCTAGACTGGTAGTACTTATGTTCATATGGAGCTCTCAGCTAATTGGGAAACTATTATCTGCTATCATTGGCAGGAAGCAAGTTAATTCTCTTATTAGCATGAAGAGAACTTATTAGCATGAAGAGTCTTACGCTGATAAAGACTCTTCCTGGAGAATGTAAAATGATTCAGCCACTGTAGAAAACAGTTTGGCAGTTCCTCAAAAATGTTAAGAATGACCAGATGACCCAGCAATTCTACTCCTGGGATTTGTCCCCAAACTGAAAACAGATACTCCAACAATATGCATGCACACACGGATTCCTTGCAGCATTATTCCCAATAGCCAAAAAGTGGAAACCCAAGTGTCCATCAATAGATGAATGGATAAACATGTTGTAATATACACATACAATGGAATATTTTTTAATGTTTATTTTTGAGAGAGAGACAGAGACAGAGCATGAGTGGGAGAGGACAGAGAGAAAAGGAGACACAGAATCTGAAGCAGGCTCCAGGCTCTGACCTGTCAGCACAGAGCCCGATGCAGGGCTTGAACCCACAGACTGTGAGATCATGACCTGAGCCGAAGTGGGACACTCAACCAACGGAGCCACCCAGGCGCCCCAAACAATGGATTATTTAGCCACAAAAAGGAATGAGGTTGTGATATATTCTGCAGTGTGGATGAACCTCAAAAACATTATGCCAGGGGTGCCTCGGTGGCTCAGTTGGGTAAGTGTCTGACTCTTGGTTTTGGCTCATGCCATGGTCTCAGTTTGTGAGATTGAGCACAGTGTCAGGCTTTGCACTGACAGCTTGGAGCCTGCTTGGGATTCTCTCTCTTTCCCTCTTCCTTCTCTCTCTAGCCTTTGTCCCCCCCCCCCCCCGCCTCTCTCAGGGGGAGGGGGGGTAGGGAGGAACAAACATTATGCTAAGTGAAAGAAGTGAGGCACAAAGGGTAACATACTGTATGATTCCATTTATACGAAATATCCAGAGTAGGTAATTCCACAGAGGTTGCCAAGGGCTAAGGGGAGGGAGGAATGGAGAGCAAACTGCTTAAGGATATGGGATTTTATTTTGGAGTAATGGAAATGTTTTGGCACTCGATACAGGTGGGGTTGCACAAATTGTGACTATACTAAATGTCACTGAATTATTCACTTTAAAATGGTTAAGTTTATATTATGTGAATTTCACCTCAAAATTTTAAAAAATGTTAAAGAATCAAAGATGAAGTCCTTATAAGCTTAAAAAAATTTTTTTTTGAGAGACAAGGACAAAAAGTTACTTATTCCAAGGAGTTTACTGCATGTGAGTCTCCATCCTCAAAGACGTGGGGTGGGGAGAAGGAAGGGGAGGAGGGGAAACTACTGACATGGGTAACAGAAACTCTGTACCTTTGGGGCAGGAAAAGTCCCTTAAGCCTCAGATTTTTGTTACAGCACTAAAATTTTCATTTCTAAAGTGGTTGTTTTGTAGAAACCAAACAGTGAGTTGGGGAAATATTTATTAAAAAAAAAATTCTGCCTCTGATTTGATGGACTTTTCCCCCCTTTTAGGTACATTTGAATGTGAAAGCTTTCTTAATAGGAGACAGTAAAGTATAGTAGATACAGCAAACAGCCACTCACCCACCCATTCAACCTCCATCCCCACCCACCAAAATCAAGGTTCTTTTTATATTTGAGAAATGGAGGATCTAGGTCCAACATTCAAGATAACTATGTACTTCAGTTTTTCATAACACTTAAAAATCATACCTATGGGAATGCAAGCTGGTGCAACCACTCTGGAAAACAGTATGGAGGTTCCTCAAAAAACTAAAAATAGAACTACCCTAGGGCCCAGCAATTGCACTACTAGGTATTTATCCAAGGGATACAGGTATGCTGTTTCGAAAGGACACATGCACCCCAATATTTATAGCAGCCCTATCAACAATAGCCAAAGTATGGAAAGAGCCCAAACATCCATCGATGGATGAATGGATAAAGAAAGTGTGGTATATATATACAATAGAGTATTACTCGGCAATCAAAAAGAATGAAATCTTGCCATTTGCAACTACATGGATGGAACTGGAGGGTATTATGCTAAGTGAAATTAGTCAGAGAAAGACAAAAATCATATGACTTCACTCATATGAGGACTTTAAGAGACAAAACAGATGAACATAAGGGAAGAGAAACAAACATAATATAAAAACAGGGATGGTGACAAAACAGAAGAGACTCATAAATATGGAGAACAAACAGGGTTACTGGAGGGGTTGTGGGAGGGGGGATGGGCTAAATGGATAAGGGGCACTAAGGAATCTACTCCTGAAATCATTGTTGCACTATATGTTAATTAACTGGGATGTAAATTAAAAAAAAAAAAATCATACCTAAGAGGATTTTCAAGCCCCAACAAGTTTAGCATTCTGGCATCCCCTGAAGAGCAAAACACACCCATT